CGGAAAACGTTTTTAACTATTGTTTAATACATATTTTTTTCTTTTTAAAAATAAAAAAAGCTCTCAGATATAGCAGCCATTAACGCTGGTATTTTTTAAGGCCGAATTTTATCTCCGATTCTTTATACAATCTTTGTTTTTGACCAAATAACCACAACTAACACATCAGTGACCGATTACGTTGATGATAAGGTAATAATGTCTATCAAGTCCAATCCACTGATTGCTTTAACTAGTCTACAAAACCACTTCGATCATATGGAAAGTTGGTTTACAAAATGACGCTTCAAATCAAATCAAAATAAGTATATCAAGACAACTTTCACTCCCAATAGTTTAATATCCTGGTTTAACATTAGACCAATGATTGATATGGACCAATCGCGTTCGAACCAAGAGATTGTCGTTAAACAACCGTCTACATATGTTAAAAACTTTATTTTAGTTGTTTAAAAGATTTTGAGTGCAGTGAAAAAATCATTGATTTTATTCCATGTGTTTTTTTTTCTCTGTATGTTGTACCAAAATTGACTACCAGAAATATTGTGTTACAATCAATGCACTTCTTCGTATGATCTAGTCGATGAATTGTGGAGGTCAGTTTTTAATTTTTCTCGTAGTTTTCTTTGCAGTCAGGTTTCCGCCTTTTCGACAGTAAGACTAACACACCTAATTCCGCTCGGAGCAATTTATTTTCGTTTCCAAGGGTTTATCGTTGTGGACAATCCGTTACGATTCGGCGGGGGCAATCCGCTCGTTATTATAGTATTATACTCGTGTATTTTATAATGTGACCTGGCACGGGTGTTTCGATAGGCGCGACGGATTCCGTACCTAATTACACGCGTAATTACAATATTATGGGTGTCCGCCGGTTTCCGCCAAAAATGACCTTTGCGTTTTTCGCCAGTTATGAATTATACGATTTTAACGTTTGGGGGGAACCCCTTTACAGAAATATTCAATAACATTATTTTTATTTTCATATAATTTTTATCATAGCGCTTAGTTATCGGTTAATAAGTCACATTTTGAGATACATATTATATACTATAATATATACATATATTATATTATGCGTTTTTATGCGTCGATAATATACCTAGTATGTATCTAATCAGAAATGTGTCCGATTTGTCGGAATTATTTTCAGCGTTGTCCGTGTCTCCGTGTCCAGCCATGTCCGCGAAAATAATTAGTAGTAAACCTGACTACCCACAAATTACAATTGACATTATAGTGTATACGTGTATCAAAACGTGACTGATTAACCGATAACTAAGCGCCATGATAAAAATGATATGAAAATAAAAACAATGTTATTAAATATTTTGGCGAAGGGGTTCCCAAACGTTAAAATCTTATAATTTATAACGGACGGAAAAAGGTTTTGGCGGAAACCGGCGACACCCAATATTATACCCCCAGTGGGTAAGCACAGTGTGCGCCTATACGGTGGTATCCCGGCCTAATGTTATAATAGTAATTATCAAGTAAAGGGTAAGTGCATATCCGGATATCCGCTCGGCGTATACGTACCTATATCTACTATACTATAAAAACGATAATAATATAATGGCGCGCGCTCTATTTGTATAATATTATATAGTCGCACAAATGTGAAAATTACGTCTGACGTTCGTGACGGACTTATCCGCGCACACACGTCCATACTATCATATAATGTTATACTCACACGGGGGTCATCAAAATATTGGACGCGGCTAACACACACACACACACACACGATAATCACGATATAATAATATTAGGTTGACAATGCTCGTGATGTGTGTGTGTGTTTGGAGTTTTGCGTATAATACTGTTTTTTTTTTTTTTTTAATATAGTGTGCAGCCGTGTTTAATTATTCATTATTACGTCAGTGTGGTCGCGTATACTCACACACACACGCAAATACTACACTTACATATTTATAAAATATAAAATATATATACACATATATGTACCACCGCGTGCTTCGTTGACGCCGTCGGCGCTTTGGGATTCGCGTGACTGCTGCCGAACGCACACCGCGGCGAGAGCGTGGTTACGGCGCAGGGAGAGGGAGATGGCAATAAAACTACTTCCTAGTCGTCACGAAGTTTGGACGGACTCTGACTGACGGCGAGAGAGCGGGCGCACCTACCGCCGTTACGTGTACGCGGAAGCCCGCAGCGGCGCGCGCGTGCAAACATCGGTCGCGTCCTCGTGGTCGACACTTTGAATTATTTCACCTCGGGGACCCGATAACGTCTGTCGTATATTATAACAACTATACGCTCACTCCGTATATACGTATACACAATAATACACCACTCTGTGTTATGAATTACAATGGCTTTTATGCGGCCGCGTCATTACGGGATACTATATTATATTATTATAATAATAAATGTCGATTTCGTCGCCGTTTATTATCATTCTCGCACACCGTATAACATCCGCATGTAGACGATTGCGGTGGGCGCCTATAAACAGTGTCGTACCCAGAGGGGTGGGCGGCTGCTAAGGGCGCTTCATCCCGTCCCGTTTGGCCGTGTTAAATATAAATAATAATAATAATAGGTAATAGGTACTATTTTCAGCGTATAACAAAATAATAACCATTGCACAATAATATTGTCAATTGCTCGTAAAGACTCATTAAATTATAATCGCAAATATTATCGTACGTAACGCACCAGCGCATTTTACAAAACATTGTTTTTCGTTTTGTCGATTTTTTTTTTTTTTTTTTTAAATTTAACCCCCGCCATTGGACAATGTTCTGTGTACTCTTCTGCCTACACACGCATAACATACCGTGTCCTATTTGTATAGTATTGTAAATGCGAATGTAATGTTACGCAAACGAAAACGTATAGCGAAATCCTCTCGGAAACATAAATGTCAAACGGAGGTCAAGTTTATTGGTACGAGGTAGATGCGAGTTTGTTAATTATACCGAAAATATAATTGAAATCTAAGACGGGTAACGGGATGTCGAGTTTAAATTGTTTAAAAAGTAAAATTGTTGTTTATTAGTAAATTGTCACCTTAACAAGCTGTATGATAATATAATGTATTATTTTTTAAAACGAAATATATTTAATATTTGTGCTTGCACGAATCGTGCGATTGTGCAACTCGTTATTGCTATCGCAATAAAAGTCTAGCAAAGTCAAAAATGCGGCGTAGCAATAAACAATCGATAATTTTTCTTTTTAAACATTTAAACATTCCGTCCACTTAGATGTCGATTATTTGTTCGGCGAAGCCGACAAACTCGCACCATCTCTCCGTACCGAACTGGACTTTTTTTTTCGCATTTATGTTTTGAAATGCGGCACCATTAAAATATATGATCCACGCAGTGTACACCGTGATGCACTATAATAATGTTATACCGATCGCCACTGTACATTGTTGCGAATTCGTCGTGTTCGAGGGTTAGTAATAATAACGATGCCAAATAACAATCAAATCCATTTTAGCGCACGATGGCTCCTACGTCCGATGATTTTCGCAAAATATCTGTATTCTCGATGTTTTTGCGACTGCGCGCGTGCACGCGCATTATAAATACATAATAATGCAGTCTCCCCAGTGCGCGCGTCCAAACGAATTCGCAACGGTGTGTACAGAAAATAATTACGTCGATATCCGTCGTAAAATCGATTCGATCAGCCGTCATTGTGTGAAAGTGTACGCCGAATGCTCACCAATATACATGTAAAATGTACGCCACGCACAAGTCATTCGCAATCGAAATAGAAATGGGTTTAATCAATTTCATAATCGATCCGATAAATTATTATGGGGTTCGTACAGAGAGAAATTAACACGATTGTTGTTTCAATCGCCGTAATACAACAATAATGACGGTAATAATAATAATAATAATAATAATAATATGGGCGCGAGCGGTGTCCAATTTACAGGCACGACATTATTATTACGGTTTCTATGCAGACGACTTGGACGGGTGTATGCCGTCACACTGTAGAGCGGAAAAAAAAAAAAAAAAAACTAACAAAAAAACCCATTGCTGACGAGAGAACGTTGTCCGGTTGATAGCGGTGTTGCTTTGTCAACGATATTATGTCATACTAAGGTGAAATAATGGCATGCGCATTATATGTTTTATAACTTGACTAACTTCAAATCTAAAAGAAACGCATGTTTTATGGGCCATTTCATATGGGGACAACTGGCACAACACTACGGGAACAGTATAGTAAGTATATGCACCGAGCAGCGTATACATGCAAATATTAGAACTGGAAACAGTTAATAATTGCACATATTTAGGAAGCGATAAATCACAAATGACACGGAAAAAGTATGACGGATGTGACAACAGAAGGATAGTAGAAGCGAAACGAACTTTCTAGTAAGAATCTCATACCATTTTACCACTACAAAGGCGATACAATTGCAGACGCTCGGAGAAATCTTTATCAAAACGTTGGTCAATTTTTCCTAACCGAAGTAAAAGACACGCCTCAGTTAAAAAGATATCAGTTTCACTAAGAATCTAAAATACGAAGAGAAAATTAAGCCTTGAATATTTCAAATAAGTCGTGCATATTTGCGAACGATTTTGATTTGAAAATCACTACCATACATAATAATAATACAACGACAATTATGGTTGGTTAAGTTAGTTGAAAAAATGAAGCGCGTTTTATGTTTGGTTCTCCAAACCATCTGCACCATAGTCTGTACTCATGTTCCGTATGTGCGATGTTTATTTTTCATGGAAAAAAAAAAAAAAAGTTTCGTTTATAATTTGTATTTTTTTTTCTAACGAAACTCGTTTACGGTAACCGTAGTAAACGCAAACGGTTTCGAGTGTTTGGAATTTCCGACGATTGTTACCAATTTGACGATTACATTCAATTTCATTAATTTAGTAAAGTTTAGTATAACGTCCTTGCGTATATTGTTCGTGTTTTGGATTGGATTCGCTTTTTTTTTTAATGCTGACGCTATGACGACGACAACGAGAACAACGGCGATGACGGACTCGACAGGTGGTATACCGACGGATGCGTGGACAGAGATCGAGGCCATCAGTGACCAGGTTAGACGAGCGCTCGAGTGTCCGGTCTGCTTGATGCTGTCCCCGGACATGGCGTGTCCCTATGTGGCGTGCCAGAACGGACACACGGCGTGCCGTAGTTGCTTGCACGAGCTGTGGAACAGCAACTCCACGCACCACTGTCCCACGTGCCGATCACCGATGGACACGAGTACGTTATCGATGGCGACCGTTATACTATTGACCGAGGTTCTGGCAACAGTGAGGCTGGCGTGCACTTACCGGGAGTTCGGCTGCAACCAGATGTATTATGTCCGCGACGTACCAGATCACGAACGGACGTGCGTGTACAAGCCGAACACCTATTGTCTGGTGGCCGCGTGTCAATGGGTGGGCACCTACGATCAGTTGCACGAACACGTGGGTTGCATGCATCCCGACGTCTATATCAAAAAAACGGTAAATCATAAAACAATTTTGAATATTTTCATTCCATTCGTAATATTTCTCGCACAAGCTTATTTAATACTGTCGCAAACACCCGTCTACCAATTCCATCAGCTGTAACCGCTATAATGTAGGTAGGGTACTGGGTACTTTTGTAATACGGTTTTTGCGGGCATTACAAAACAAAAACCGATAATTTTCATGTATATATACTCGTATTATAAATTATACTATTAATCGCTGACAATTAAATATGAAAAATTAGTACATTCGTTTATTAGTTCATTCCCCGCCAAGAAAACGCACGCAATCGATAGGCAAATTACGGGATTGAAAATAAAAAATGCAATTGTTTTTTTTTTTTTAATTTTTTGTCGGAATTAACAACGGTTGTCAATATAAATAACTGTAACATTAAACATTCGTGCAGACGAACATTCTGTCCGTGGATAACATAAAACTAATCGAGTCGAACCGGCGCCGGACGCTTTTGGTTCTGTCATCGGTCGGTATGTTTTGGGTGGTGCTGAGCCGAAAGTCACGGTTCCAGTTGTTGGCTGGCATGTTCATTGTGGAGAACAGCAGGCCTCCGGAAACGGTTACGGAGCCCAATATGGCGTTTACGGAAGAACCCGAGACGCCCGGACCAGTTACAGAATCGACACAGACATACAGTTACCAACTCAGGTGGTTCGACGAGAAGGGAAGGTCCCGGTTCCGTAGCAAGATGACATGGGTCGGCTCGAGCTCGTTGTTGAGCGAGGAAATACGCGGCGGTAACCGTGACGCGTCTGACTCGTATACTCTGATCAAGTCCAGGTCGGGAAGCGTGGAGTTCAGATGGTTTCCCTAATCTATCGCGACCCACAGACGATTCATTAACCGGCTCACCGTACGCTCCGACAGACGTTTCTCCAACTGGCTCACGGTACGCGATTAATATTGATTTGTCTTCCTCCAATATTTAACTGTTTCTGATTATAAACGACTAATATGAATATTATGTAAAAATAAATAAGTACAATAATGACCATAAAATTATCAACAACCACAAACCTATACCGATACCAAAATCCATTATTCGAATTCCCCGGATTTCTATGTACTCGTACATTGTTCGCTGTTTAATTGAAATTAACAATATTTTATAACGTTTTGGTTTTAAATGTTGAATAATAAATAATTACTATTACCGCGTGGTCAGTAATGGCACCGATACATCATAATGTCGGCCGTGCGCGTTTGATGGTGTGGTTAAAATTATTTTATGCAATTCAATTTATTGTTGCCAAGCTGACGAAACGGTCACATCAGGTCGGCCCGGAATACTTCTAGTAGCGTTTTCTAGACACGGTAAAATTGTCAAAGTATTCTGGCAATTATTATTATTATTTATAGGCTGCAGCCCATTTAGCGACATTTTCGAGTTTTTAGATTTTATATTTAGTTTATTGTGGACACAGTTCTTTGGCCGGACAGAAACTGTTGCAAATTGTCGAAAAAATAAATTTAATCGTAATGTGGTAGGTTTTTTTTTATAAGCGTTCTTTTGATTTAACATCAACATTTGTAGAAAATCATTCAATCAAATTATAGCGTTTCAAAAGATGTAAAACCGAATTTCGGTTTTTTGTTGGCAATATACGCAATAGACATTAAGTTGTACCTTCTCGACTTCTCACTTACAACAGTGGTACACCCGTCAGTGTTAGTTTTATTCTCCGGTTATTTTCTAAATAAATTTTTAAGATAGGTTTTCAAGAGTAAACCGTGTTTTACCTTTTGTCCTTTAGATTCTGAGTGTAGCGAAGAACGGATTGGTTTTACTAATTTGTTTATTTTTTTATACTCTGTACGAAAATTCTACCAGAAATCTTGCTCCGATGGATACGATGTCTTGGGGTGGTACTTTAAGGAGATTATTTTTTTTTATTTTCCCGGCAGTTTTCCCAATAAAAGAGAAAAAGTGAAAGAAAACGTAAGAAAAACGGGGAATTTACGACAAACTTGAAATTTGGACAAAAAATCATGTTTGTCTTTTCTAGACGTGGTAAAATTTTCAAAAAAATTTAAGTAATCTTTGAGCTATTCACAGACATTTTAATTTTGCGAGTTTTGTCAGGGGCGAGCATGTCAAATGAATCTCCATGTATTTACTCTGGTTCATATTGAGGCTTAGTATATTTTACTAGATCTAATTAATTTCTTCGTCTGTGTAACATTATAAAATGTTGTAGACATCAATATTTTTTAAAATAAATTATCCTTACAATACAAATTCGTAAAAACCAGAATGCGTTCATATTTTTAAAAGTTCGCACACAAAATATATTGTCGAGGACAAACACGGAGCGGGACGGTATACACATCACACGCATATGACACGTAAACGTTATGCTCGACCGACAAGCGAAATATATTACAGTACCGTGTTTTAGACGTAGGAAAATAATTGAATTTATTCGTACCGTGTACAATACAATAATAATCACATACCGCATTGCGGGCGTATTGGCCGTATAATAATGTAATACGCGAGCATTGTTATTGCTACCCTACTGAGTGGGTAGATCATTTTTTTTTTGTTTTTTTTTTTTATTATTTTGATCAATATTGTCCGGAAAATATAATATTAAAACGACCGAGATTATGTGTGCGTCGACGCCTCGCAATATAATGATTGTCTCCGGTATAATAAACAATTTATTAACTCGTACAATACAGTTTTGATCGCAATATGCATTCAATATTTATATATATATCATAATATATTTTGCGCGCAGTTAAGTTGTACAGAAAAAAAAAAAAAAATAAAAAAAAATACGACAATAAAGATTTATATGTGTACCCCTGTGTAGCAACTGCAGCGCGTATAACAATCCCCCAAGCGGAACGAAAGTAAAAAAATAAATAAAATATTCCGCCGAGGTGAAGTTTTTATGTATTATTTGTTCCTTGACACGGGGACCCTTTTTTTTTTTTTTTCTTCTTTTTTTATTGCTCTTTTATTCGCGTCTGCACCCCTATAATATACCACGGCAAAAACAAACGATTTGCTAATTGTTTGTACAACGATATTACAACTGTACATGCAGCATTATGCCATTAGTTGGACCGGCTACTCGCTACAAAGTATTGTTACTCTAAACCTGGTCCACGCAACGATACAGTAATAGTGATCACGATAATAAGTGTTACAACTGTTGCAAAGACATCGTCAATGTATTATTACCAATTATCACAGTGTGACGAGTGACAGTATAGAGTGAATTTCGACGCACGGAAACTTCTGTGAAAGTGCGACACGATAGTGAATTAGTACGATTTCAGTACGTGTTCAGACGGTGATATAGGTATACAGTTGCTATAACTCTCACAGTCTCCGGATAGTGTTGATAAATGAGAACCAAGACGACGGAATGTCTTCTTATTATGTATTACGGGGAGCCGAAGAATCAGGGACGATGAGTGTGCGATACCCGCCTGGGCCGATGCAAATTTGAGCCGCTCGAATTATTTTGCGTTGATAAATATTATAATTTAATAAAAGCGAATGTTTTTATATTTGAATGAAGAAATATTGCTTTTTGTTTGAAATTATCGTTTCTATTATAGTAATGATGTTTTGTTTTTGTCTTGTTATTGAAAATTTTAGATCGATTTTCATTCCCGGTCTGCCCCCGTTGAAGATAATTTATGTATAAAAAAAATGATGACTGAAATGATTTACACAGTAAAATCGCACTATATAGGTAGAAATTCCATCGGAGAAGAATATTCTCTAGATGGTCGATGCACGTAAATGATGCATCATTCGAAACATTGGTATTAAACGGGGGAAAACGAAGAGTATATCGCGTGTGTACGGCTCACGGGTCCTCCGATGACTGTTGTGTTGTTAAAAGATGAGAAGTAGAAGTAAAACTGAAATCGTTTTGAGCGATTTTGCGCCCAGGGCCATCAAAAACTCCCTCTTAAGCCTTTACTCCAGAACAATTGGAGTGTTAATCCCTCCAAATTCGTTGATTTTTACAATTATATTGAATTTTTATTGAAATTTCAACATTTTACCGTCATCAAATTAGATTTTTCCTCAGCCTTGATTTTCTTGTTCTTTTGATTTAGGTATACATGTTACTGTACAGACGGTCACTTGTATAATAATTACCATAAACGATATTCGTTATTATTATTTTAAGTTGAGCGTTTCGGAAAAAATAAAACGATACGATAACAAGTGATATTATTGTTTTATTGCGCATTTCGAGTTTTGTACCGGACCGGACGTCCCGTGTAGTTTTTAATAGCTTCGTCGGCCCGGGGGTGACGACCGCCCTCGTTTGTCGCCCCCTCCCTTTGACGCGGCCCGGGCGGTAATAACGCGCGTACAATTAAATAAAATAAGAACGAAATGCACCGCGTGTACGTCATAATCGCTCGAGAGAGCGTTTTTCGTCCGCAGACATCCATCCGTAGTACCCGTATTACCGTATTCATGCATACGATATGTGCGTGATGCGGCGATCGATAACAACACGAACGCACGTTACGGGCGTCATTATCGCGTACGTAATACGCCGTTGTCGCCGTTGTCGCCGTAAATAACGTATCCGCCGTGTATTACACGCGTTTAAATATTCGAGGCGGGTAAGTGTAGGAGCAGAACCCCCCCCCCCCCCCCCCCCCCCCCCCCCCCCCCCCCCCCCCCCCCCC